CAAAAAGAGAAGACAGTGAAAAAACTCCTAAGGCTGGCTCATAATTCAAAATGGAATGTCATTTGTGGGTTTTAGGGAGAAAAACTGTCGCTTATTTCTAATGCTTACTTTTTAAATGCCATAAGCTTCAGAGCTTTATTCCAATTCCTCTGTTTATACCTGAGGAAACGCAGCATGGAACGCTGGATGTGGATGACATACTATGTTTTAATTCATAATGTAGCTGCTTGTGCCCGCATAAAAAGCAAATGTGTTAGTCTGAACTCTAATCGAACTTCAAAACTCACATTGCCATGTGCACGTTTTTATTCTTAGTCCGCTTATTGCTAGTCTTAATCAGTCATTGGTTCTGTCCTTTTTGAAATCTCAGATTTACTTGATTGTAAATCTTCAGCAATAATCTACACGAATATCAATTTGTAATTAAATTGCTGTCTTTATCAGTTCGTGCCGTCGATTGTGTCTCGGGATATTCTAAGTCACTATTTAATCGTGAATATACGTATACATTTCATGTTCACCTAGCACTCCGATTTTAAGGGGCCTTTTGGTGGTTAATGGCGTTTAAAGACCAATATTTGCAAATTTCTATCGCCATTGTTCATCGTATTCACACGTAAATGCTTTATTTCTATTATACACCTGACTTTATTTATAAGAACCTAGTCGGTTGATATATTTAAATTGCTCTTAAAGCGAAGCCTGTTTACTTTTTGCGATGGGTATGCTGCATAAAATTGGCATTCTAGATAGTACAAGTTCTATTTGCAGGCAGGTTTCTTTTACCGTCTGACATCATGTCTACTTCTTTTTTTCCCTTCCTTTATTTACGAAGCTATTTTGTTACTATGTCCTTGTCAAGTCAACTATCACAGATATTTTTATAATTGTAATAAAATAAAGATTGCTTTTGCCTTTTTCTGTTCCTGAAGATTGTTCAAAGCTTATGAAATTAACCAATCTAAATGCATTTATCTGGTTATTACGCACATTAAATAAGCAATATCTTTTGTCTTCGCCGCCAGTACTTGCCTTCAATTGTTTACAAATGACTAAAGTTCACATTAGGCAATAACGAAATCATTTAACGCCAATATTTCATTTGGATCGTTCAAAGATTCCACAAAGTGTTTTAAAGTTACCTTATCGTTCGAAGAAGAAACTATTAAGGTTTGCCTTGTAAATTGATGGCTCTCTTTCTTTCCGATTAATGGCCTGCCATTGCATACCTTGAGAAGTTTCTTGCTCAAAAACTTCGTTTTGCATTACTATTAGCACTTCTTTACGTGCTTCGACATAGTTAGGACACTGTGCATTTACAAAAATTGAAAAGAGAAAGGCTTTTTTGTAAATCTTGAATCTGTGAATTTTCGAGGCTGGTTACCCAGCTTGTCGTCGGACTGTGGGATGTGTACAAGAACAATTAACTTCATTAACCATGTCTCACAAATTATACTGCAATTAGTTAAAATCCGCGCCAATATGTGTTGCATACATTTCGTCATCCTTCCATGGTTGACCGCGCGCGTTGAACTTTGGCCTTCAGATAATTATAGCTCGCGTTTAGATCAATGTGCCTGTTAATGAATGCCTCATCTGAGTGCATTGCCTCCAGGAATTCACGGCCTTTTCTGGTTGGGCAAGAGCCAAAAATCCGTGTGTTCTCACACGCGAATTTGTGACCAGCTTCTAATGTGTGCATGGCCACCTGGGATAAGCATACAAAAAATCTTTTAACTATAATTACCGTCAAAGACAAAGGATATTACAATGGCTATTTTTTGCTTACTGCCATCACCATTTTTAATACTTCCCATCTAAGACCGGCAAGACAACGAGCCGTTGCGAAACGGGTTAGAGCGTTGAACTTCTAACCAAGGGGCTCATGGTTCGAGCCTCGGATGCCGCAACACCTGCATTCACATATGGTTGTCTAGTGATGGCTGCAAAGTCACAACTAGCCCTTTCAATCTTCTTAATCTTTGTCGGTAATGTCTTTCTACCTATATCACGAGCCTGGCTGCTAGCGGTGCTCAAAAGTGAGGGCCAAGGCACACTGGGGACAAGTTAGTCCCGTAACCAATCAGTTTATGCCTATTTACAATTACTGTATGTTCAAATGACCCAATTGTGAAAAATTCGCGGCCTCGGTGGGATTCGAACCCACACAACAGGTAAGGCGCTTGCGCAGCACGCGCTCTACCACTGAGCTACGAGACTCACCATGCGCCGTGAATTTAATCACACGTAGGTCGACATTACCCGCCCAACTTACTACTTGTATGGAATCCACCATCACAGAACAGCAAGCTGACTGCCCAACCAGGATTTTCTGAGCCATCATCTAGAATCCACCAGCCCATACAACCCATACAAAACACTGAAAAACATATTTTGGTAGAGCGTTGGCTGCACAAAAGCCTTCCCTGCTGTGTGAGTTCGACTCCCTTCGAGGCCGCGAATTTTTCACAATTGGGTCAACCGAATTAAGTAAATCTGCCAAATCTCTAACAATTACTATGTGTATATAATTTTTTAACCTTTTGTATGATCAATAATTTTATCTTTACTAATTTAAATAATATATTTACATGTTTGTTTGAGGTAATTTTATCGGAAGGAGCTGGTGGTTGGATTTTCATATTTTTAATGGAAAGCATCTAAAAGGCCACTTCCCTATTAAACAGCTTATGCATTTTAATTATCCTTCTAACAATGATTAAGTATTCCAACGGATGCGGTCTCTTTTCATAGCTGGTCATTTTACATCAGTTTACATCCTGTGTTGAAAAGCTGCCTATATTTATGGAAAGGGCAAACTGCTGTCCACTCTGGACCGTAACACACACAAAGCCGAGATGCTTTATTATGTATTTGTACAAAGACATTAGGATACAACAACATTAGCTAGACATGAAAAATATGTTGTCTACACGGCACGATTACCTGCACGTTTGAAGATTTTTCGTCTACATTTCGACAAAATATGATTTTTAGTGTTTTGCACGAGTTGTATGAACTGTCTCATTTTTCATAGATCGTTTTGTAGAAAGTAGTTTATGGTGAACAGTTTACCAAGTAGTTTATTCTGTTGAAGGGTGGCGTTTAAAATCTACAGACTTTCGCCACTTCAACTGCCGTTTGTTCGTTTTGGAAACTTAAGTGGCTCCGAAATCTCATGCCTTCATCTCATCAACAAGTGTTTCTAAATAGCCCAAAGTTGCTATTGAGTGACGCCCTCTACCATGTTCGATTTCTTAATTTATCTTTCATTGACGGATTTTTTTCTCGAACTGTTCTGATCCTCCAACCTGATAGGGGCACTCCGTTTTGTCTTTGACCTGCAGATCAGAAACATTGCCGGTGGCCGCACGTCGACGATCGATAACTAACCCGCTCATGAAGCTTTATCGAGTGGCCAAAATGTAGTGTCAGATCACAAACAAAATGATGTAGTCACATGAATCAGTGCTAGAGCCCTGAACTTTAACGTATTTCGGGTTTTAGCCACGAGTAATCATGGCCTGGAATGCTGGATGAAGATAATAAGTAGACTATTGCTTCATGTCTCGATTTCGTTTGATGTATTAGTCGATCTACAATGGCTAAGTGATTAAAGTACGGAACCGGAAACTAATTGCTCGCCAATTTTCATATATTTTGATTATGTTGGTTCCGACTTCTAAAGGAGACTCCAACTTGAATGACTGTATGGAACTAACTCCTTCGGCTACAGAAATATGTTATTAATGTTAGGATGTTATAAGCAGACCTGTTTTTTTCTTTTCAAATTTTCGTGGTGGATGGGAGTATTCCCAAGGATAAACCCCACTGTCTTTGTCCTTCGTTTCTTATTGCAACAACCATAAATAAGGATTCCTTTCTTTAATCTAATTCCACCATAGCCGATTAAAAGTTTTGCCGTGATTACTATGCAAGCTCTAATAGGATGATATTGAGAAAATTTGATTGCTGGGACAACATTTTTATTCGCCTGATGCTGTCCCAGCGATCGAATCTTCTTCTCAATTACTTCCTCGGACTCGTATGTTCGCTCGTACTGGATGACATTTTTGACCTCCTTAGTTGTTTTACAGTTAAACTCTCCCTGCCTTAGAGGACTTTGTGCCAACGGAAAAACGGCACACTTTGGCCGTACCACAATGTTCGATGCCAACCTATTTTGACCATTGTTTAACCGTTTTCTAGTTGTACATCCTGTTAGACTGCGCATGTTCGGCAGTTGGGATATGCGCGCATTTTTGGGGGGTTTCTGTTTGTCGACGTGGCAGTCTAGTTACGTCGAACACACCTGGACGGATGCACGTGCCACGTCAGCATTGCGCCCGCCTATTCTTCCCATCTTCTGCGTCTGCACACATTGGCCGACTTTCGATCGCCGCCGCCTACGGCCCAATCAGCTTTCGCTAACATAGCGGCCGCATTGCACACCGCACCAGCTAAGTGGGTCAGGGTCGCGTGCCCATGTTCGTTCCCTGGGCAGCAGTGCCTTGTGGTTGCTTTTCGGCCACTGCGCCGATTCCTTTCATCTGATTGGCTAGACATCCGCGCCCAGCAGATAGAATACACGTCAGCATCGTCAAGAAGCACGGGAGCTGAGTCACGCACACGCAGCGTCTAAAGCCCGTTTTGGTAAAAATGAAACAACTGTTTTTTAAAAAAAGTATTCCCTCCTGATGGCAGAAGGATGACATCATTTAACTTGGCCTTCTTCAGTAAGCCCAGGCGGTAAAAATTATACTCCAAAAAGCAGCCACGAATAATATCGGTAGAAGAATGGTCTGACCACATGGCCCTTTCATGGCATTCAGTCTGTGCCCCTTTCAAGTTCGTTTACTCGGCCTATGATGATGATTTGATTAAAGTGCGCTTTGCATTTGGATGCAAATCAGACCCCTCGTAGAAGACTCGACTGAGCCCAAAGAATGAGTTTTCATGGGACAGGTTTCACAAATTTCTCCTCTGTTCTCATGGAAATGGAGAGTTATTATAAACACATTTAGCGGGCGTTACAAACCTACAAACTTGTGGCAGATAGGATTTAATACGGGTCAGGTTCTTGTCGGCCAAAAGTTGACACCCAGAAGCAAATTATTATGACGATGATGAAGATGTCTCCTGTCTAAGGTTTACTTTTATTCTCAACTGGGGACCGTCCGGTCAGGTGGAGCATCCTATGGTTCACTTCAGTTTGTTTAAAAAATTCGCAGACGCTAAACTCAGTCAGTAAAGGTTGTGCGTATGTTTTCTTAACTAAAACCCTCCCCCCATATTTCCAGTTTATCAGCATTTAGCAGCAAAATCTCCACCAGTACTTTCTTTGTTTTTTTCCGAAATGGGAATTTTCTTTCAGACACATTCTGACTTTTTTGTTAACTGGCACGTATTTCGTTCAGAGGTCACTGCTGACCCGGAACGCAAAGAAACATACATCAAGATGAAGCGAGACGATGAGAGACGCTGGAATGCTGCCGACATGGACTTTGACAACAAACTCAGTCTCGACGAGTTCTCCGCATTCCTGCATCCACAGGACTATCCGCGCATGCGAAATGTCGTCATTGAGGTGAGTGCTGTTGCCCCCGATATACAAAGGGGGTGGGGAAGGGTT